AGGAAGACTCTAAATTCACTGCATTAAAGCCATGAACTAGGAAGACAGCAGCTTACATGACAAGGTCCAAGAGAGATTAGAGAGATTGAGAGAGATTAAAAATACACAAATCTATAATGAAAGTGAGAGCAGTATAAGCAATGTTGCACTTTAATTATGTACAGACTGGGGAATGACTGGCTAGGCTGCTGTACTACAGAGAAGGATCTAAGTAAACCATACAGTAGATCATAAACTGAATATGAGACAACAAGGTACTCTTGTTACAGAGCCAACCTCAGGGAAAATGGCACCCTGTGTGAACTTGTATATTAGCACCCCCTCCCAAGTCATCAGCACTGCTGCAAGCAGAGGCAGATGAGCAGGGGCACAGTCCAGCGGGGAAGTGGAGCAGCAGGGTGCTGCTGCCTTCACTGCCCACTCCAGCGCCTCCTCATCACTGGCTGGAGGTGGGAATGAAGACTGGGCTACGCACTGCTTCTCTTGCCCAGGGCAGAGGGAGAGAGCTGCTGTGAGTGTGAGCTCCTCACATGTGTGCGTGAGGTGACCCCCTGGCCATAGCACCCGGGGCACTCGCCCACCCCAGAGGCCATCTCTGCTTATTGCACAAAAAAGTCAATAGCATCCTGGGTTGTATTAACCCAAGTGTCACTTGCAAATCAAGGGGAGTGATTCAGTATGGGTGAGGCCTCACCTGGAGTATGTTGTCCAGTTTTGGAACCCACACTTCAAGAAGAATGTGGATAGTTTGGAAAGAATCAAACCAGAGCGGCAAAAATGATTAGGGGCCTGGGAGGCAAAACTTATGAGGAATGGCTGAATCAACTGGGGTTATTTTATTCTGGAAAAGAAAAGACTAAGGGTGGATTTGATAACTATCCTATGCAGAGAATGCCTTCAGTGTTTTTTTTGCAATATATTTTCAGCAAGTCTTATTTTTCAGATAATATAACTAATTTTGAGCTATTTTCTCTTGTGAAAAATAACATCGCAACTTCATAATGATTTCTGTAACAATTAGCATTCTGTCACTTAAGCTTGATAATGTCAATAAAATAAGAAGGAATTTTAACATCATGCATATAGTATTGTAATTGCAAGCCCTGATTTTCCCCTCCAATAGCAACATGCTTTGATAGTTGTCAAGGGAGCAAACAATCTGTACAAGATAACCTTGCATCCCTGTACACTATACCCTGAGACATTGCAGCTTCTTTCCTAGGGTTGTGCACTTGTGTTGGTGATTTGGTCTGTAATTTGCAAGGCAATAGCTGCTTTCTTGTATGCACCTTAAGCCAACAGGTTAGAAAGCCAGAGCTCAAACTTTTATATTAATTTTACAGAATTACATTCTGTAATTTGAGTTATTCTGTAAAATGCTGTTATTTCTAATTTCTATAACTATAAAACAGATTAGTAAGCTAGACTCAAACTTTTAAAGTTAGAGTAAAATTGTGACTTTTTTAATATTTGTATCACATTTATATACAAATGGGTATATGCACTTAGTCCAGATATTTGTCATGGTATAACCTTTTGCATACAAGTTAACTTTTATTTTAGTTCAAACTCTATTATAAAGGGGCAGTACTCTTTATATTAATTTTACAAGGTACTCACAGCATGTACATAATGACGCCTATGCTCCAAATGTCACACTGCTGGCTATAGTCATGGGCACTGATAACTTCTGGAGCTGCCAACCAAGCAGAAAAAAATAATATTAATAATACAAAAAATTACTTTTAAATGCTTAAACACAAAGCATGAAGAATGTGCTGATGTGATATAATTTATTCCCATATGAAAAATGGAACCAACAGCAGATGTTTAAATGAATAATGTACAGGCCTTAACAATTCATGCTGATGTGTCTTCACTTTTATCATTGAGCTGCTAAAGGAATGGTGACACTGTGATATTAACTGTGTGATTAAACATGGTATTGTTTTTCCATACTAAGCTATTAAACTATTATTTATAAAATCCTCATTTTCAGTATTGCCTGACACCACAGAAATATGTTTCCTTCTTGAAAAATAATAAGCATTGGTATCATCTAACATATATCCTCAAGTATACAAAATAAAACAGTAAATGAGAGTTCTGAATATGAAAAACATTTAAATGTTCAAACTGCTTTTAGGCAGACAAGGTTCTCTCGGTACATGTGATACCTTTTATGACACCAACTAAAAAGTTGGAAACATTGTTCTTTTTTCCACAAACAGTAAGAGTGGTCCTTTAAGAGTTTGACCATACATGTTTCACTGACAGTACACTTGAATCCCAACTCCAACGGACAGGGTGCTTTTGGCCAGCAGCGTTCATTGGAGCCACATCTGGCCTATAACTGTCCTCAGGCCTCCATGCAGTGACCAGTATTTCTCAATTCCTTTGCCAATGAAGAACCAGTTGTTCTAAGATTCCCTGGAAGCAAGGAAGGAGGTAGGTCTTGGAACACATATGGACACAACACACCCCAAAGGACTACAGTTACTGTAAACTGAGTAATAGGGGTGTGCAAAGCTTCAGTCGCTGAAACGATTCAGAGGAGATTTGGCCCGATTCAGCGGCCAAATCTCCAAATCTGAATTGAATCAGGAGACCCGTTAATCTCTCCAAATCGAATCAGAAGCCTCTGAATTGATTTGGAGAGATTTGGCCATATAAAGCTGTGTCTACGTTTTTTCTACATACCTCGAGGTACCAGGCACGACTTGTGAACGCTGAGATGGTGTGGCAGATGGAGTGTCCCACGAGACCATGAGGCGGTCCCCTGTGCACTCAGCAGCAAACCCGTAAGTGGACCAGAAATACTTCCAGTCCACTTCCAGGTCTGCCGCAAAGCACACGGGGGACCCCTCTGCCCCCCAGCTCAGCGACTGGTGCCTCCTGGGTCTGGGGAGGCACCTGGGGTCCAGTACTTCTGGTCCACTTCTGGGTATGCCACCAAGTGCACAGGGGTCCCCCTGTGGGAAGGTCAGGCACATCCGCATCACCAGGAGCCCCGAATGAGAGGACCTGTGCAGCCATCGCAGCCCGGCTGTGCTCCCAATCCACTCCCACGGAGCTTTATTGACTCACTGGGTGCACCAAATTGGTGCAAATATGGGGCCAAAAGCTATTTCCAGTGGCGAGCAGCAGCAAAGAGGAAAGAGATGTAGAGGAGAGAGAGAGAGCAGGGGCAGCAGCAGGAAGAACCACCCACTTGCCCCCGGGAAAGGGGCAAAAGACCCATTGGGTCTTCAGAGCTCAGAGGAGCTCAGAGAAAAAAAAGAGAAAGTGAGAGCAGAAACACCAGCTCCGCATTAATGGGCTTCGGCAGGTGTGGGATTAAGCCGACATGTCAGCAATTAGTGGAGAAGCAGGAAGAAAACACTCGGTCACTGTAGTCACAATCAAGAGGCTCAGCAAGAGAACAAAGAAGAAAACAGAGGTGACGCTGTCAGCTCTTGGAGGTTTTTTTCCTTTATTTTTCCCATTTCCAGCAGGACAAATGCATGTCCTCAGGATGCCAGACCCTGCATCCGTATCCTGTGGTGTCACGGCACACCCCTGCACTCCCATGGGATGCTCCATCCCTCCGCCCCACCATCTCAGTGCTCACGAGCTGCACTTGGTACTTGGAAGCACGTAGAAAAAAAAAAAATCTTTGTCTATGGCCAAATCACTGATTATCCGAATCAGAATCGAATCTCCAGATTTGGCCAAATCAAATCGGGACAGTGATCCGAATCAGCAAATCGAATCACTGTCCCCCAAATCAGGCCAAATCCAAATCCAAATCGAATACTGCCTGCTTTGCACACTCCTACCGAGTAAATGTTTTTACTTTAAGTGCTTTTTCATCTACATTCCAAGCATGGTACTGTAATTCACAAGAAGTGACCTGAACTGACAGAGGTGGGGACTTGGAGTCTAATTAAATAATAAACACAAAGCAGTCTTTCCAAAAGAAGCATCAGGTCATGATGCTTCTAACAGAGGAATGCTGTGAAAAGGGACATATACATGCCTTACATATATCTACTATAGGTATATTCCTTTTAAAAAGCTATGGAGCCTGCTTGTGTTTGCTGAGTAGCCTATTACTCTTTCTGGTGGACCTTAACTTGACATACTCTGATACAGGCAGGAAGCCAATTAGAAATTCTTGAGGTCAAAACACACAGACTCTTCACTGTTTTTGCAAAAACTACATATAAGAGAGAGGATACCCTAATATCATTTTTTCTGGACAGGAGGCGGCCAGCCTTCTACCAATGTCTAAAGTGTGTACCTTAGCTTACCTTCAATTATAGCATGTCTAGGGACAAAAAACAAGGTGAATCATCACCTCCTTGAGAAGAAAATCATAGATTGTTTTGCACAGAAACTTAAGATCAAGCCTCAGTGTTAACCCTTCTTTGTTGGATATGATCTTGCCACACCAGTCTTGATCTCTGCTATCCTACTAGTGGACACAATTGCTACCAAAATACTATTTTAATGGACAAGGAAAACATTTTTATTTGAAATAGAGATAATGTTTGTTTTCCTTGGATCCATAGTGTGAGCTCCTGCTGCAGGACCTCAGACCTTTTTGGCTTGCCCTCTTGCAGACCACACAGAGGAAAGACACTTGAACACAAGGGAAGTCACATGCACTGTTACTATCCAACAGCGTGTTATGCCGAGAAAAAAACCTAAACATTTTTAGGCCATAGAATTTGATCCCACAGGAGACGCCAAGTATTAGAAGGATTCAAAAGTGGATTAAACATGTATATTGCTACTACAAATAACCTTTACATAATACAGAAAATACTATAAGGAATACAAGTCCTCACAGTAACAAAGCTTTGTGTCTATGTTAGAAAAATAAACTGCTTTACTAGCAGCTTATTATCCATTATAGTTGCTTGTATATGCTTCCAAAGTATATACTGTGGAAGTCATTCACCATACCAGGCTAGACTGATTATTAATTTGGACTGGCAGAACAATTCCTAAAAAAAAGGAAAATCTCCTGATAAATGAAGCTTAGAGGAAAGCTTTCTTTCAATGGTTGCGTATTAGGAACAACGTGGCAATTTATAGTTCTTAAACTATATTAAGAAATTAACTTACCCATGTAAATAGGAGTTCCACAAGTAGACTGAAACATGGTTTCACTACGAGCTGCCTTTTGTACAGCTAAACCAAAATCAGTCACCTACAGGAAACAACAGAATATTGAAACAAAAGGTGAAAGTAGTTCTTTTGTCCAGCTTAGAACTCACCGATTATACTGTGGTCAAAGAAAACAAAAGTATGTAGCAGGAAGGGCTCAATCCTATTCCTTCCACAAATGTATGCAACTTTGTATCAAGCATCACTAATGTTTATTTGGTGACTTCACAGCTGGGAAATGTTCTTCTATTATCTAAACATCTTTAATATTATAGGTGTTTCTTGATATTCAGACTAACTTTAAGAGCCCACCAAGGACATGGAACAAATTCTTGCTAAATATTTTACTTTCCTCGAGACTAGAGAAACATGGAAGGCCCACATAAAAGCAAGTGATGGTAGAAGCAGACCCAGATACAGCCAATAATGGGACAAGAAGGGAGGGAGAGAGAGAGAAAAATCAGAAGAGAGATCCAGCTGAACCAAAGCCTAACTTCTGGCAAATCAAAGAGTTGCTTCTTTAGAGCTACATTTAGACTGGATACACAACACATTCACATGGGTAAATCAGTTTTATACATTCCTATAAATTGTACACCAGTTTTATATATTAATGTAAATTGGATCAGCAGCAGACGAAGGAGCAGTTTATACTGAAATGGCAGACTATAGGGCAGCGATTCTCAAGTAGGGTGCCCTGGCACCCTGGGGTGCCTTGTGATCTTTTCAAGGGCGCTGTAATGTTAGCTCTGTTAGGTGTGTAAACATGATTCACAAGATAAACAAAGATTTAAAAGAGATTCATAGTTTTAAATGTATTCTGATCTGTTGTGGTTTGACTTCTTTGCAAAAGAAGAAAGGCTCTATTATTTTTCTGTCGTCAAAAAACAAACGAAAACGAAGAGACAGCATTTTATGAGGGTGCCCCAAGTCTAGGTGCTTGCATCTAAAAAGATTAAGAATCACTGCTCTAGGTTGTCGTTACTGGGCCTCACCACTTAGGGTATCTTTACATGTGCTCCAGGGTTGCGGGGAGGGCACTTTAATTACAGTGGCTCTTGGGAGCTACTTCAATTAAAGTGCCCTCAGTGTCTTGGGTATTCAGCAACCCATGCTTCAAAATGGCAAAATCCCTGCTCTTTTGATGAGCTTTAGTTAAAGTGCCCCCACCACCATTTTGAAGAGCAGGGATGCCGAATACACGAAATGCCAAGGCTGCTGGAACATGCTAATTAGTACCCTCTTGCAGACTCAATTAATCTAGCAAACTAATTAGTACACATCAGAGCAGGCATCAGGCATGTGTACTGTATAGATGCCCTTGGTGGTAGGGGAGCTAGTAATAGCTTGCTTGCTGTGGATACAAGGAGCTAAATCCTATTTTAACTTGTATCCCTACATGTATGTATGTAGAGTTTGGGGCACTTATTCAACATTTGGAATTCTATTTTGCCTTGTGGTAAAACAGAACTACCCTGCACTCATACTTGATTGGAAGTAGAATTGAGAGGAAAGAAAACTGTTATTTTAGCCCAATATCCCAGTGGTTAGAGCACCTGCCAACAGAGTGGGAGATCCAAATATAAATTTTACTCGAATCTTTCAGGGCTAATTTTACACCCCATTAAGATTTTGGTGGCTCTTTCCTTTCATACTCTCTCTTAAAAAAAAAGTCAGAGGAGGTAAAACGTCATTTGCTAACATAATTTCCCTAGGCAATGTTCTGCTGAACCGAGTCAGACATCCAAACAAGATACCTGCTCTTGCATTCAATCCAGAAATAAAAGCAGAGGCTGAACAATTTGAGCTACAAAATAATTATATTTTTTTGTTTTAAACACTGGTATTCATTTTACATGGAACTGGCAAATGTAAGTAGATAAGATATACATATGCCCACATTTAGAAAATCTTATTGGTGGAAAGTGATCTAAAATTTGGAAGTTTCATTCTTGTCCAATGTAGGTATTGTGCATTTTACAACTGCATGGTACTGAGGCACACCAGATGTTAAATTTACACCTTCTACCCTTCTTGTAATCTCATGGATAGTAGAGATATATCTCATGAGACTTCTGCAGTGATCAATATCTTAAAAAAGATTTACTCTTACTTTTTTAAACTGAACTAGTTTCCTCTTTTTGTTTCTCTAGTATCCAATGACAGAAACGATTATGCCAACATTAAACGTATTATTGAAAGGATAACACTATCACATTTTGCTACCCCTTCCTCTTGTAATCATTGTTTCTGATGACATGACCCTAACTAATGAAACTGAGGCCAGCTCTGACTGGGGCTAATTATTATGACTGTTTCTGTATATATGCAGGAAAAGAATACTAGGATCCTCCTATTTCACAGAGCAACTACACCACAAGCAGCCATAATATAGGAAAGTTGCCTTTTGAGTACAGGGACTATGCTGCATGTTCCAGAGATGGTGAACCAGGTAGTGACCAGAGCCTGTCCTTCTCCATACACCAGGACCTGACAATTTAAAAGAATCCATACTTTAACCTTTATTATAAATACGTTTTAAAATAGCTTTTTCAACACATGCTCTCCAGTGCTCTTGTGGACATTTGTGTGTAATATTATGGTGTCTCAGCATACCAGAAACACTTCCACTCTACCATTGACACCCATTTACCACCAGGACAATAAACAAAGCCTTGTTCTATTGTTGGAAATGAGAAAGATTACTCCATATGTATGAATACATATATACTTTACAATCACAAGTGAAAATTTCATTACTTTATTATCTCCTTTTTGAGACTGACCTCTCTTTATGCCCAGAAATCTCAGGCAATTCAGACTTGTAAGCAAGGCTTTGGGAATTGGCCTCACCCCTTACATAAGTTAAGAATTTCCAAATATGCACCAAAAAGTAGATTTGCTACTAGCAAATAATTGCAAACTCCTGACAGTAACACCATATTCAACCACAGTAATAATATACAAACACTCAAAGTTAGGCCATTGTAAAAATACTCAAAGAATTTATATTGTTTAGGGTGGAGAGAGAAATAGGATAGTCCTAGAGAGAGTAGCATATGTTAATTATTTTCCATTCTGATCTTGACCCCTCTCTTAAACTGAGACATTTGGGGACCTAACAGTAAGGACTTGATATGCAAAATTTAAAATACAGTTACCTCTTCCCTACAAGCTGCAGTACCTATCTATAGAATCACCACCGGGATCAAATGGCTGACCAGGAATGAGACTGAGGAGGATCGGCGGGAAAACCCAAAGTATTTTATAAAGAATGAATGACCCGGAGGGTATTTCAAAGGGAGGTTCCAATTATTACATGGGCTTCCTATTTTCACCAATTAAAAAGCTGGGGAATGTCTTTACTTTTCTTTGGGTCACTTGTTGACAAAGACTCTCTGGCTGTAAAAAACATCTGTGAAAGCCTCTCAGTGCATTCGTATCCACAGAGTAACCTTCAAGCCTGACTCTTAAGTTGCAGGTAAAGATACACTTTAGAGATGTCACTTTGAACATCAGTCTCTAAATACATACAAACGTCCTTCGTCTCTTCCACCCCTCAAGGGACTTGGGAGTCCTTATATTAAAAATGGTACCAATATCATTAACAGACACTCCTGAATTACTTTTCTGAGGTTCCTAGTAATGATGCTCTGATAAACATCATCCAGAGAGGAAGTCCTAAATTCCACTGGCTTGCTATTATTATTGGCTATTATATTTTCATGAACAGCACAAGATTAACAAGAAATTCTTATGGTAATGTTAATGGTGATTGACTATGTACACATGAATTTTTCCGGAGACCATTTTACTGAAGTGATCTTATTATACAACATATAAAATATTATACGTATTTCATAACACATACTATAGATCCACAATCCAACACTTCAGCTCTAAAGATTGTTTCAACAAATGTATTAATTTTGCCAACATCTGTACTTGAAATGTTAAGCAACTAGTAAATGATGTAACATTTGATTTATTGGCCAGCAGGGAACAATTCTTGCAATAAGAATAGGTTATAAAGAAACAGACATTTTAAGTAGTAAATATTTTGAAAGTAGTAAATATTTATCAGAATACAAAACAGTCTACTGTGGAATGTGAGTTGTACTTAAATCAAAGATTCTTTAAAAAAAAAAACACACCAGATTTACATTAAATTGATAATGCGCATAATTTAAAATATTAGCTATAATTTAAGAGTTTCTGCTACCTTAGTGTAATGAATGTTTTGGAACTATCCTAGTGTCTGGAACAGGGCTGCACCATGCATCCTGCCCTACTGCACATGTACCCCACCTCACCCTAAGTTCCCTGGTTGTAGGGTCCCTTGCTGCATTGCACCTCTCAGGCATCCTGGGCTTACCATGGCACTGCAGCTCCTCACCACAGGCAGCAATGGGTGATGCTGCTCACAAAGGTGCAATCAGTCACTGTTGCAGTTGTGGCTAATTTTGTGCCCCCTTTTCTATTATGCCACTGCCTCCACACTGTGCTCTGTGCTGCACTACACTGCCCCTCACCTTGGGGTGGGGAAGGGGAAGCCAGACACAGAGGGAGCCTGGAGACCCTGGCTGCTTCTGTAGCCAGAGCAATGGAGTGGGGGGAGTGGTGGCTACATGGGAACCCAGGGGCTCCACTTTAATCCTTTGTGGGCTGCATGTGGCCTCTGGGCAGCCGGTTAGACAGCCATTGTCTAGAAAAATAAGGTAAGCTTTCTCTAAGGTTTTTAATGGGTTGGGTCTTTTTCTCCCCCAGTTGACTTGAAGGTATACAACTTTTTATTTGACAGAAAAAAAATTCTTTCAGTGGAGCTTAACTATCAATTTGGGGTTGTTTTTTTTTCTAACTTACTAATATCATTTAGTGTCTCTTTTCAAAAGACACTACTAGGTACCAAAATTACATCCTTCAGTAATATCTGGATATCAAAATAAGTGAGCAATGCAGAGTTGTTAAAAATTTCTAGTCTTACCTTTATATTTAATTTCATCTCGTTTGCTTCATTGATGTCAGTGCTTTTAACTAAAATGTTTTCCAGTTTCAGATCTCTATGAACAATGTCTGTCAAGAAAGAACAAAGAATAAAATGTTATTTACCAAATACAATGAAAATATTCTGACATAAATGCTTTAAATGCCTTCAATTGTGTAATTTCTCTGAACAGTTCGGATGCATTTTCTTCTTCATTAGTGAAACTTAAAGAAAGGAGCATTTGTCCATTAATAGAAGGAATTTAACATAATGATCAAATTTGGATCCATCCTCCTCATGTTTTGTAATAAGGAAAGCAGTTTGCATCACTTTTTGTGTTATAGTATCACAAACTAGCAAAAAACCTATAGTAAAAGAATGGGGAGGAACCAGGATGGATATTAGGTGTGCAGTGATAAAAGATTTTTTTGGCCGACACTGATAGCCGATTGATTATTAACCAACCATATCAGCCGATGCCAACCCAATAACCAATAATTAGTAATAATGCAAGGCATTTTAAACTACTGGCATAAATATACCTTTTTTTTGGCATGCTCCAGAAGCATCCTGCATCTTGTGTATCAGCATCCTCATGCTTAAAAATGGCAGTGGGGGGGCACTTGAACTAAAGCGTGTTGAAAAAGCTTTAGTTCATGTTTCTCTGCCACCATCTTTAAGTGTGGGGATGCTGATAAATGAGACGCCATGGCACTTTAATTAGAGTGGCTGTTGGAGCTGCTCTAATTAAAGCGCCACCCCCCACACCCCTGGAGCACATGTAAAAGTCCCCAGAGCCTGTGCCAGTTGCAGCAGGCAGGACTGGCCTAGTAGTGCCTGTGACTGGCTGCGTGGAGCCCTTCAGCCCTTTCCGCAAGCCCCTGTGCCCCATGGGAGAGGCTGAATGGATCCAGCTCTGGCCCTGGTCCCAGGAAGGGCAGGACCCGGCTGGGCTGAGGGTAGGATGACATATGCTTGCCTCTCTTCCCAGGCCCCTCCATGCCCGCCCCACCACAGCCGAAGCAGAGCCGAATGGGGCAGGGGCAGATGTGGGTTGCCTGCTGCAGGCTTAGGGCTCCCTGCTTTGCTTGCCCTGAGAGCCCCGCACCAGTTGCACACCCCCTGCCTGCCCAGCAGCAGCAAAGCACACAACTCCATGCCACCATTGCCACCACCCATGCTGCTGCCAGCTGGGCAGGGGGCTTGCACCTGGCACAGGACTCTCAAGGAAAAGGCAGCAGGGTGAGGAGCTCTGAACCCACAGCAGGCTGCCCACTCCAGCCCCCCTCCCATTCGTAAACTGGGGAGGCACATAACCCCCTCCATACCTCTGGAGGTGTGCACAGCAACTGGGAGTTGCCCCCCATCATGCCTCCTGGACAAGCACCCATGGCTCCGCCTTGCTCCCTGACCCAGCCCCAGGTCTCATGCACCACTCTGGTTGGGCAGCACTTTCAGCCCCTGCCCCACTTCCTCTTTCACTGTGGGGGTCTCAATCTGCCCTCTCCCCCCACCCCTTCCCCCATAGATTTCCCTGCAGGGAGCTGCTCTCAATGCTGCCAAGCTGTATTCCTGGCCACGTGCACGTGTGTGGGCTTGCACATGCATGTGGCACCCCCTGCATCCCAATCCCAGCAGCCCCAAGCAGCCCCCTGCAGGCTAAAATGCTGCCTGCCTGCAAGGGAAAACCCACCATTTCCTGATCCCTGCAGGATGCTGCAAATCCGGAACAAATGTTGTCCCAAAGTCATGAGGCCTGGGACCAGGACTTGTCCCAATTAGGAATGGGTGGTTAAGCCCAGCTAATGGACCGGGAAAGGACCCTGCTGCACACAGTGGGAAGGAGTGGCTGCCTGAGCCCCTGCCAGGCTTTGCCCCTGGCCCCTAATCTGCAGACCCCCAGGCACTGCAGGCTGAGGCACTGCGGGCTGGGCCAAACAGCGCCACCCGCCCCTTCCCCCCACCAGTTACATCTCTGCAGCACTCACCGCCTTTTACAGTGCCCACCCTGGCCCCAGTTCACATTCTATGGCATATCAGACCTGGGACAATGCGCCAGTTGCTCCACGCCACTCTAACCCAGTCCAGCCCGTCGGCGAGGGGATGGTGGTGGGGATGGAAAACGGCTCGGGCCCCTGTATCTGAATTGGGTCCTCAGTGTTCAAGGTCACCCCAGTTCACGGGAGACAACCACGGCATCTGGGGGCCCCAGCCTCGCAGGGGAGAGGGAACCCAGGCATCCCAGGGCCCAGCCACAAGGCATAATTATCAGTAAATTAAATTATCAGTAAATTATCAGTAAATAATTATCACGTGTGTTTTGTACACACGTGTGCCCCCCTTACCAGAC